TATTTGGTGTCAGGTCAGGCAAGTTATTAGGTTTTATTGTAAGTCAGCATGGTATTGAGGTAGATCCCGATAAGGTAAAAGCCATACAAGAAATGCCAGCTCCAAGACCAGAAAAAGAGGTTTGTGGTTTCTTAGGACGATTGAACTTCATTTGAGGTTCATATCGCACCTAACTTCTACGTGCGATCCTATATTTAAATTACTTTGAAAAGATCAAGCAGTGGTGTAGAATAAGCGATTATCAAACATCATTCTCGGGTGGAGGTCTTATCCTCACAACAATGGATGGGGAAGAACTACTGCATCCAACAAACACATACATAGTTAGAAAAATACTATGTATAAAAAGCCCGTTAAGTCGAACTGTAACGGGGAGACTTAGGCAAAAAGGGGTGTCTCGATGGATTGAAAACCCAAAAGGATGGTCCAGGCAAAAATTATTATCCCGGTGGATTGACCGAAAGGGAGGTCAAGGAAAAAGTTAGGGATCTTATTTAAAATAAAGAAAAAACATATTGTTATCCAAGAACCACGACTACAACCACGAAGGAGAGAGATTAATCCAAATCATTTGACTCGGAAGCAAAGGGGATTGGAGCTATCAAAAGGACTATGGAGAAACAGTAGTAGTAATTATCATTTTTATTGTCATTTTACAGTGTTTGTTAAACTTTTTCTTTTATTACCTCTTTCTAGGAATTGAATCTTGTACTCTCTCCTATTCAAATGCATGTTTATCAATAAAACATTTATTTTTTCAAATCTTTTCAAAATTTGTGTTTTTCTTTTTTGGACTTGTTTGCAAAATACTACGATTATTTCTTGTGAAAACTGCGTTGAAATCATTTTAGGGATTTGACAAACGAATAAAAGCATTAGATAAAACATCAAAAAGCATTTTGGTTAGAAAAACGTCGAAAGAAAATCCACGACTATGTCCATGCCTGCGACCATAGCCACGTCCACACTTATGTCCACAACTACACCCATGCCTACATCTGCGCTTGCGGTACAAATATCAAAGTTTTTTCAACACTTATTCATTCTTGTTCAAATCAACTCAAAGGTACCATGATAACTCAACCTACAACATTGGGAAGTTGGTGACACAAAGAACAAACCAGTGGTTTAAAAGGGTAGAATATAAATAAAAAAACATTTACAAAAAACATTTGGGGACATGTACAAACATGTGGTGCATATAAAGATAAAAATTCAGTGCATAGAGATTTGGATTCCATATCAATCTAAGACATTATGCACATACATCATGCATGAGATTTCTCAATTACATTTTGCTTAAAACTATGAACTCTTCTTGGGGCTCATTGTTGAACTAACTTATCAATGAAACAAACAAACACCTTGGTTGAGAACAGACACAATCGGTAAACTCCAATCTTATATTTGGTTTAGTTATATAAATATTTGATTATCAAAACACTATTCAAATTTTTATCCTCTAGGTTGTGATAGATAGGCGAATCATCTGGATTATGTTATTTGTCCTCTAGGTCGTGATAAATACATAAGCCTACCCTCTTATTGTTTATCCTCTAGGCCGTGATAAATTCACAAGTTCATCCTCGTATTATCTATCCTCTAGGTTGTGGTAGGTATGTGATTCACCGGGTTGATGTTATTCATCCTCTAGGTCGTGATGAATACATAAATCTATCCTCATGTTATTTATCCTCTAGGTCATGATAAATACACAGTTTTTCCTCGTATTATCTATCATCTATGTTGTGGTAGGAATGAGGATTATCAGGATTATGTAGTTCATCCTCTAGGTCATGATGAATACATAAACCTATCCTCGTGTCATTTATCCTCTAGGTCGTGATAAACGTGCAAATTTATCCTCGTATTATCTATCCTCTGGGTTGTGGTAGGTATGTGAAATATCAGGGTTATGTTATTTATCCTCTAGATCATGATAAATACATAAGCCTATCCTCGTTTCATTTATCCTCTAAGTCGTGATAAACACACAAGCCTATCATCGTATTATCTATCCTCTAGGTTGTGGTAGGTATGCGAAAATCTATAGTTCATTGTGTCAGTCTCTAAGTGATAATGAATTATCAGGTTTGTGTTATTTATCCTCTAGGTCGTGATAAATACACAAGCCTATACTTGTGTTATCTACCCCCTAGGTTGTGGTAGGTATGTGAAAATATATAGTTCATTGTGTCAGTCTCTAAGCGATAATGAATTACCAGGTTTGTGTTTTTTATCCTCTAGGTTGTGATAAATACACAAACCTATATTTGTATTATTTACTCCCTAAGTTTTAGTAAATATACGAAATTTGCAATATAACTCATTGTGTTAGTCTCGAAGCAGCAATAGGTTATCTGTCTCTCTGCGATATAATACATTGTGCTAAGTTTCCATGCGATAATGGATTATCAACTCTTTTTTATTCATCCCCTAGGTTGTGCTGGATAGACAAAATCTACGTTATAAACTTACTATGTTAGTCTCGAAGCATTAGTAACTCTATGTAAAATCTGCGATCACTTTTCTTGGTATTGGCGAGTTATCCACATTGTTGTATCTAAGTCAATCATAACTCTTTGTTCAAACTCTGTTAAGACGGTACATCATCATTTGTTCCTATTTTTTTGTTCTCTAGGGTATGCTTTACAATATATCCTTATCTAGCCAACCTTTGTCAAATTTTAGGGTTTTCCATTATTTAAAAATCTTCTGATTTGAATAGGTGAGACCTACGTATTCCCACATCCTCAATCAAAGAGTAATTAAATAGTAGCAACTGTCATACCCCAAATTTTCTCTCCCTTTATTTTTACATTCAAAAATATTTCCAACATTGGTTTTTATAATATTCACTCATTTAAAAATGTATAATATTTTATTTCAAATTATTTTTATTTTAAATAGAAACTACTTTTTCACTTTCATATACTTTTAATCGAGTTTTTTTATTTAAAATGAGTAACATAGCACAGTTGGTAAGGAATCAAGCTTGCAAGTATGAGGTTGCGGGTTTAAATCTCTTGCGTTACACTTTTAACATTTTCTTTTTCTATTATTGTTACTAATTTTCTTTCCTTTTTTAGAGACCAGGCTTTGGGCTTCTCTTGGTTTTTGGGTAACTTACTTTCTAAGTGTTTTTAACCTAATTCTAAATCTATAAATAGGACTACTGTCCAACATAATTTTTCATCCAGAAATCTACAATTTCACAATCTCAATCTTTCCCTTACTTCTGGTTTATTCCAGAGCTTCTGAACAGATACTTTGAGAAACAAATCCAAAAGAAACACTATCAAACAATATCAACAACAACTCCTCCAACCGCCACCGTTTGTAGTCCAACATTGTTAATGAAGTTGCCGCCGCCAATTTTATTCCGTCGAATTATTTTACGGTATTCCTCTTCTTCTTTTGGATGATTGATTTGTTTCACGTTTGATTTTCTTTACTTTGAAGAAATTAAAGTTTGTTGTATTGTGGGTTCAATTTTGTGGTTCTAAATGAAAGAAAAAATTGGTGGAATTATTGTTATTACTTGATACAGTATGAGAGAGAAGAAGGGAAATAAAGTCTAGAAATTTGGTTCTCTCTCTTCATTCATTTTTCTAATATTTATTTTTCTTTAATTAAAAAATATGGTGCCACATGTCATATCTCTATTGGGTATAGTTAAGTTGAAATATAGTTTAGGTTTGGCCTAATTTCTTAATGTGAGGAAATATTGTAACTTATACTTTTAACTTTTTGTAACTATTTGCTTTTTATTTATTTTATTATCATTACTAGTTAGATTTAATTAAATAAGGTTTAAGTTTATTTACTTAAATTGATTTTTTGTGGTCTATATATTCTTGTTTTTTTTTTGTTAACCTTTTTTATTTAGGTTAATTTAGTTAATTAAGTGTAATTGTAATTAGGTGTTTAATTTTACTTAATAATTTATTTTATTAGGTTATTTTTAGAGTAATTTATTTTATTATTTTAGTCTAATAAAAATTCAAAAATACAATAATCATTAACCAATACCTAATCAAATGACAATTAAATTAATTCAAATATGTTATAAATAACAGGGTTGATGGATACACATCCACCATATTCTTTGATTGGCCCAACACGAGCTTACACCCCCCTGTTTATTTGGGTCAAGTTCAGTTTCTGAACTTGGGCACATGCTATCTGAGCCCCCCATGATTACTTCCTCAGTTCAAAGACACCCCCCTCTGCGCTTTGGGCCAAATCCAATATCTGGATTTGGGCCATGTTATTCACACCCCCATGTTTTACTACCCTATTGCAAATTGCACCCCTCAGCCAATTTAGGCTCAAAATATTTTTGGGTCCAGATTCTCTTCTAATATACCAGCCAGCCTTAATATCCTCACCTTAAAATAGCTAACCTATGATCCAACAATTTTTTTACTCACATAATAGAACCCAAGACATTTTCGAAAAAATTATTAAATAGAAATACTTTCAAAATTAACTGCGAACTATGTCTACGATCACTCAACTTACAATCCAGACAATATTCAAAGATAATTCGAAAGAAATTCTATGCAATCCTATAAAAACACAAACAAACACTTCGAACTACAAATTGGGACTCTGATTCCTCATAAGAGGATACGTAGGCACACAACTTAAAAACCAAGGCAAGTTCCCCTAACTCAAAAAATTAAAACCCTATTCCTAAACCTTTAACCTAAACCCAAGTATCCTTGTGAAAAAGGTAGATGAAGGGTACCTAACACCTTCCCTTCGTCTAAAGCGAGTAAAAAAACTTAGAATCTCTGATCCAAATTAGGGTTATCCGTTATATTCCCTTCCTTAGGATAAAAATTAATGGTGGAGATTCTATATTTTCAACCGGTTATTACATATCCCTAAAACTATTACCTTTCATTGACAAATATCCAAACCCAAATATTATAATTCAAGAATAGGCAGACTCATATTCCAAAATCTTTCTTCATCAAGGTTTCGGATTAGCCATGGATAATATTTCTGCTGCAACTGAGAAAAGCAATGAAAAGGTGATATTATGTCTCAGATATGTATTAATCTGTCTCCCACGATAGAAATTAGGTTGTATAATTTTTTAATGTACATGGTGGTCCCATTGTGTTTTAGGGTTTGTGATCCTTTTTCTTTTAGGGTTTGTGGCCTCACAGTTATGCATTTTTTAAGTATTGTTTGTGATCCCCTAACTCGTATGTATTATCTATTCCAAATCATCTATGTGTCAAAAAATTAGGTTTAGAATCCATCATGGAGGTAGACTTGTTGACACCTCTGTGAGATTGCATGTTGGTGGGTTTGTTTAATAAATGAGTTAGAAATGGTATGTTGACTACATGTCTTGTATGGAACTATTGCAATTGATTAAGAAAAAGGGATGTAGAGACATTGAGTGTATATGGTATTTGAACCCTATGTTGAGCTTTACTCGTGGCCTTATAACACTTAACTATGACAATGATGTGTTGCAACTGATTAAACATGTTGATGGTTGTGATTTAGTAGATATGTATGTTGATCATAGCATTAGAGAAACTGACATTGTAGATGAGGTAGAAATAGGGCATGATATAATTTTTAATAATGATGAGGTTGAAATGGTTGATGAAGTTGAAGTGGATAATGAAGTTGAAGTGGATGATGAAGTTGAAGTGGATAATGAGGTTGAAGTGGATAATGAAGTTGAAGTGGATAATGAAGTTGATGATGAAGTTAATGATGGTGAGGATAGTGACCGTGAGTCAGATTGGACAATTATACTACCTAAAGAAACAACTAAACCATATGTAAATAACTTTGACCATGGAAGGATTCTGACCAACTTCAAACACCACCTAAGAGTGAAGATGATAAAAGTATGAGAGATTTCCAACCTATAAGGTTGGTGAAGGAACCAAATTTTAGTTAGGCATTATATTTACACTAAGGAGATGATAAAGGATGCAATATATTATTAAAATTATTTAGAAAAATAAATTTTCAATTAAATATGATTAACTTAATTCATTAAACATATAAAATCCTTAACGTTAACCTTACAAACTCATGATCTTTCTTCTAAAGAAACATAAAACAAGATACTCTCCTTCCTTTGTTGTGATCCCTAAAGCCATTTCCTTTCAATCACAAATATCCAAACCCAAAAATTGCGATTCAGGAATAGGTAGACTCATATTCCATAATCTTTCTTCATCAAGATTCAGGAATTAGCCATGGACAAGATTTTTGCTGCAACTAACAAAAGCAATGAAAATTTGAAATTATGTCTCATGTATGCATTAATCTGCCTCCCGCAATAGAAATAATTTTGTATTCTTTTTTTAATGTACATGATGGTTCCACTGTATTTTAAGGTTTGTGATCCTTTGTCTTTTAGGGTTTGTGGCCTCAGAGTTCTGTGTTTTTAAAGTATTGTTTAGGATCCCCATGATTGTATGTATTAGCTATTCCAGGTCATCTATGTGTCAAAAAAATTGGTTTAGAATCCATCATAAAGGTAGACTTGTTGACACCTCTGTGGGATTGCATGCTTGTGGGTTTGTTTCATAAATGAGTTCGAAGTGGTATATTGACTACATGTCCTATATGGAACTATTGGAATTGATTAAGAAAGATGGATGTAGAGACATGTGTATCTTGTATTTAAACCTTATGTTGAGCTTTACTTGTGTCCTTATAACACTTAACTATGACAATGATGTGTTGCAACTGATTAACTATGTTAATGGTTGTGAGTTAGTAGATATGTATGTTAATCATAACATTAGTGAACCTAACATTATAGATGAGGCAAAAATAGGTGTAACACCCCAAATTTGCCCTACCTTTTACTTTTGTCTGGCTCAGACTTTGCCTCCCTTTTGCATCATTTTCACTAAGTCGTTTGCATATCATTCATCTCATGGAATTAGGCACTTTGGATTAAAGCATTAGGTTTGTGCCATCCTTATGTTTTATTTTGGTTTGAGGTTTCTTCATCGAGTAAAAAAACAAGTTCTTTTGGTTCTTGAGCAATGGATTGAGGAATGAAGTTCTGAGGTATCGTGGGTTTCCTTCTTCGTCAAGGCATAGGGATATTCTTCAAGGTCCTGGATTAGGGTTCGATTATCTTCAACACTTTGAGGTCTTTCTTTATTAATGTTGTCATACCCAAAATTTTCCCTACCTCTTTTTACTTTTGTTTGGCTTTGTACTTTGCGTCCCATTTGCATCATTTTACTAAGTCATTTGCATACCCCGCATCTCATGGAATCAGGCGCCTTGGATTAAGGTATTAGGGTTGTGCCCTCTTTATGTCTAATTTTGTTTTGAAGCTCTCTTATCAGGTAAAGTGGAAATTCACCTGGTTCTCGATTAGTGGATAATGGGGTGGATTCTTAAGGTATCATGGATTGCTTTCATATCAAGTTACAAGGTTGTTTCTCGCTCGAATCCATCAGAGCTGAGATTAGGTTTTATTTCCCTATTTGTTGGTTAAGGTGTCGGGGTTTTGGATCCTTGGTTTTTGTGAAGATGTTTCTTTCACCTGCCTCAAAGATAACTCAAAGTTCAGAGTATTTCGTTAAGGATTTCATCTCCTCGCATTTCAAACTTTCTTCTTAAGATCTCTAAGTTACCGAGTCGAGAGTTTGAAGCTTAAGTTGACAAATGCGGAATTTGAACATAAGAAATAAGGTTGAAAGTTTCATGATAGTCAAGGCATGGTTTTGTTGTTTTAGTGGCAAAACACCTGTGGTTTGGATATCAGAGTTAAGTTTCTCATTGAGAGTGCAATTGGCGTTTGGGCGTGATATGAAGGTTGGGAATTGAAAGACAAAGTGCATGGTTACTTGAGATACAAGTTACTAAAGTCATGTTTGATTTCTTAAACTCCAAGTTACAAAGTGAAGAGTGTTATTTAAACCATTCAATTGGGAATTTAAATTTTTCAATCAAGATTCAAGAGTTGTTTGGTTTCCATACAACGAATTCATCATTCAAAAAATATATCATTCAAGTTTTGTGTTCATTACATTTTTTAGACAAGTTAGAAAGAGTGTTACAAATGTTGAAATACAAGCTACACATATTTTGTTTACAAAGAAATTGTTTGTTCTTCAAATTTTCTTTGCTTCATCTTCAAGCAACTCCTCCACTCCTTGCTAGCCATGGTCTTCTCTTCGTCTTTTATCCTTGCCTTGCTTTTCATCCACTCCCTGTGCTCATGAAACAAGAAAAGGAAAAAATTAGCAAACAATCAACATGTGAAAGTTTCAAACAATAATTATTTGTAAAATAAGAAAGCTCATCATTAAGGTTTGCATTGGGAATCAGAGTTTAAAAGGAGTTTGTTTTTATCATGGGCTATCTCCTCCTGCTTTTTCAAATCATAAAAGGTTTGGACTTTGGTTCACAAAAAGGGAAAATATATATTTGTAAATATTTTCCACGACAAAAGCAAAGTCAAAATGCAAACAATGCAAACGGTCACAACAGTCTAGGATTACTATATTGCAGCGCAACAAGCCAAACAAAGCAGCGCAGCAACAAAGCTGCAAAGCAAGACAACCAAGGCAAAATATAAAATAGGCAGTAACAAGCCAAACAAAGCAGTGCAACAACAAAGCTACAAAGCAATACAGCCAAGGCAAAATATAAAATAGGCAGCAACAAGCCAAACAAATGCAGCACAAATAAAGCCAAAACTGCAACACAAAAGCAGGATACTAAAGCAGCCAACAGTAGCAACATAGCAGCCAACAGTAGCAAGACTGGAAAATAGCAATAAAGCCAAAAGCCCAACACAACAACAATTCAAAACAATGTAAGCTAACACTGGTTTATAGCCCTTATATCATCATTTTCCCTAAAATGCAAACCCTTCAGAATTTTTAAAAAGGCAAAACAGTTTGCATCATTGAAAGATAAAGAGGAAAAAGAACGATTTTGAAAAGATAGCACCTAACCCAAAAGCAGCCCAACATCACTGTCCAAGATCAGTTCATGCTGCAACCTTACTACACCCATCCACAACACAACAAAGTATGTTGCCCTGCATTGAACTTGCACGAAATAGCAAAGAAAATAGAACTGCAACAAGAAAGTGTTAAAACAACTTCCAAATATGTTCAAAACCTCAGTGAATTCCCCCCCCCCCCCCCCCCCACCACCACTTTTCCACCCTTGTTTCATTATAAGAATGTTCTTTTGTTAAATTAAGAGGAAGAGATTTTTTGGCACACAACCAGCATAAATACCAACAACAGAACTGAGCCAAGAAAAAAAACAGAAGAGAGATCACATCATACCAACAACAGAATTGAGCCAAGAAAAAAAAACAGAAGAGAGATCACAGCATACCAACAATAGAACAAGAACCAGCAAAACCAAAAGAGTTTTTTTTTCATACAACCAGCATAAGAAAACTAAGAGGGAGAGGATACCAAAAGGACTTTTAAGTTTCAGACTAAACTTACTCACCACAACAACTGTTCACACCAATTTATTTTCAAAGAAGGAGAGTAGAGCAAAGTGGAGTACAGCAGAAGCAGAGTAGAAATGAAGTTACCATGGGATATCTTCACCTCTGAGAACTTTCAGAGTTAGTACTGTTTTCTAACTTTTCAACTATACTTGCTTTAATATGTGTATGTGTGCTTGATCTTGTTGTTTGGATACTCCAATCTGCACTAGTTAATTACTTTGTTCAAATTTTTGAAACCATTTATTCCCTGGGGTGTGTTTTCATTTGCTGCATTCATGCTAAAGTCAGAAATAATCAAAGAAAACAAAGTGAGATGAGTTAAAATGAAAGGAAATTCGACAGAGAAGTTATACATAGAAAAATTTCTATAAAAAAATCCTTTTGTTTTTTATTGTTGTTGTAAACCATTATCCAAAATTTTCAACCTATTCCAAACCTTGAATCAACCTCCCTCTGTCACTATTTCTGAACCATCATCTTCGGCTCACATCTCATCATAACCCTCACCAAGCCACAACTACCTTCGCCCACCATCACCATCAATTTTTCGCAAGCATGTGACATCATTCTTCATCCATTTGCCCATCAATCTGTGATTCCACGGAACTAACCTCCCACCTCTGTCTAATTCACCAAAATGTACCCTCACAACCTTTACATTTAAACCTTATCTCAATCTCAGATCAGAAGAACTGACCTCAACTCCCAAACTCAAAGTTCGACCCATAATTTCCACTCACGCCCAGACTGCATCCTTAACAACACGACATAGATCTGAATCGAAGAAGGAATGGAGGAAGAAGCTTCATAAACAAGTTTCATTCGGTTGAAAGGGGATTAGTCTATCACTTGTTAGCGTTGTTTTGTTATTGGTTCCGTTTGGATTGAATCAAAGCGAAAGGCGGATATTTGTTTTTGTTTAGATTCTGCAGCGAACAAGATGAAAGGGGAAAGAACCAGCGAGGATAGCGATTGAGAGAGAGAGAGAGAGAGAGAGAGAGAGAGAGAGAGAGAGAGAGAGAGAGCGTGTGTGGGACGAAGAATGTCTTTTTTTTGTTTTTTTCATTTGGTTTGCATCGAAAGAGAAGAGGAGAGGGTCGTTTGGTACAGAGGGTGAATTTGACAGATGAAAGGTTAATGTTGTGGTTAACCTTGTTTTCTGAGGAAACAAAATTAATTAGATTAAACTTTCCTTCTCCCTAGGTGCGATGCTCTATACAAACAGAGTAGGGTTCCAAGAAACCCCAATCTCTCTCTATTCTTTCAGGGGGATTCGGGTTTGGGCCTAGCCCAACCCATTTTCATAGTTTCATTTTTATAGTTATTTTAGTAGTATAATTAACGAATAAAGTAAAGTGGTGCGGTGGTAAAAGCATGGCGTGTGTAAACTGGTGGTTC